ACGGTAATTACATTGAACCTTATGGGGAAATTTCCTTCGGGTTGCAACCAATTCGGGTTGCAGCCAGAGTCACGGAATGAATTAAGTTTGTAAACCGAGGTTCCACTGTATATAAAGGGCTATCTTCCATAGAAGTCTTTTGTGTTTTCAAAAGGTTTCTTGGCCTCAGAATTCATTTCATTATGATTGTTGTGTCTCGGTTTGTTATGTATTTTTGAAAATAAGTACGATGGCCCCACTCAGGATTCAGATTCTGAATCTGAATCTGACCCTGAAGAAGTTGCTCCAGCTGAGCCTGTGGGATGTCAGTGTCAGGAGAGACAAAGCCAGGGATCACCTGAGGCTGATAAAACAGGCACTACCTGAACAGTTGGAGAAGTCAGATGAGGGTGACGTAAGGCCGCCCAGCCCCTGCGCCCAATGAGTAGAGAAGAGAGCAGAGCAGTGAAGGTCTATTAGGCTCCTTGCCAAGCAAGGGAATAAATCTCTTGATTAGTGATAGCTGGCTGCAGCCTGCTTTAAGAGACAGCCCTGACCCATGTTTCCTTTGCTGGAAAGAACAGTCTCATCTTCAGCTATTGCATGACCCTCGTGTATGGAGTCTGCCTGTGAAATTCTGACCTTTGGACTAACTGACAACCCTGACCCCGCTCTCTGAACCTTGGACTGACTTTGGACTATTCCTCTGTGTGTTCCTGTTAAAAAGCAGATCCTTCAGGAAAGTGTCTGAGACTGTTTTGGTTTGCGTGCTTTGACTGTTATCTCTTGACCTTGAGTAAATGGTGATCCACCATAGCAGCTTTGTGTGAGTCAGTATTTGAAACCCGAAGCAGGACAGTAACAGCGCTTTGTGGGTTGGGTCTGAGGTTGTTCCAAATCTCAGTGGTTTGCCCCCTCCTCAGGAGGCCATCGCTAGACCCCACTATACTGGACAATTTTTGTCTTGTATCTAACCTCCCCTTTTTGGGGAAGATGATTGAGAAGGTGGTTGCACACCAGCTTCAGAGGACCTTGGATGAAGTAGATTATCTGGATTCCTTTCAGTTGAGATTCAGGCCTGGGTATGGGACAGAAACAGCATTGGTCACACTTTTGGATGATCTCTGGTGAGGACGGGATGGGGGTTGTGCATCCTTCCTTGCCCTCCTTGACCTCTCTGTGGCTTTCAGTACCATCAACCATGGTATCTTTCTGGATTGGCTCAGAGGATTGGGGGTGGGCAGCACTGTGTTGTGCTGGTTCACCTCCTTCCTCTGGGGTTGATTCCAGTCAGTGGTGCTTGGGGAGGAGAGATCTTGCCCTCGGCCCCTGTTATGTGGGGTGCCGCAGGATTCAGTACTCTCCCCCTTCCTATTTAACATCTACATGAGGCCGCTGGGCAAGCTTATCCATCGCCCTGGAGTGAGGTATCATCAGTATGCTGATGGTACCCAATTATACATCTCTGCCCCTGGCAAATTAAGCGATGCTGTGAATGTCTTATCCCGGTGCCTCGAGGTTGTGAGGGTCTGGATGGGGAACAACAGGCTTCAACTGAACCCTGGCAAGACTGAGTAGCTTTGGTTTCTGGGGCCTTCTGGTGCTAGAGCTACGTCATCTTTGGTACTGAATGGAGTTGCACTGCCCCAGACAAATCCTGTGTGCAGTCTGGGGGTTCTCCTGGACTCACGACTCCTACTCGAAGAGCAGGTGGCAGTTGTGGCTAGGAGGGCCTTTGCACAGCTTTGTGTTGTGCACCAGTTGTGCCCATTCCTAGATCAGAGGGACCTAATCACTGTTGCTCATGCCCTAGTCACCTCTTGTTTGGATTTCTGTAATGCGCTCTGCACGGGGCTGCCCTTGAAGAGTATCCAGAAGCTTCAGCTGGTGGAAAATGCAGTGGCACGGGCAGTTATGTGTGCCCCTAGGGCGGTACATGTTACATCTCTGCTCTGCAAGCTACACTGGTTGCCAGTTTGCTTTTGGATCCAATTCAGGGTGCTGGTTTTGACCATTAAAGCCCTTCATGGCATGGGGCCGGGTTACCTGAGGGACCACCTCTCCCTGATTACATCTCAGGCCTGGCAGAGAAGGCATGCTGCGGGTCCCACCTGCCAGAGAATTATATTTGGCAGGTCCCAGGAGGTGGGCCTTCTCTGTGGTGCCACCTGCCTTGTGGAATCTTCTCTTCCCAGAAGTGAGATTAGCCCCATCCCTCTTAACATTCTGCAAGTCCCTCAAAACCTGAGTATGTGATCAGGCCTGGGGCTCCCAGGGGACTGATTTTGTGATGGCTCCCTTATTAGTTTTATTCCCTCCTATTTTGTGTGTTTTTAGTTTTTTATTTGTAATTGTTTTTATGTATTTATTCTTTTTAATTGTTGTACGCTGCCCAGAAACACCTTGCATGAGATGGGTGGTTATATAAATTAGATAGATAGATAGATAGATAGATAGATAGATAGATAGATAGATAGATAGATAGATAGATAG